CAAAAGCAATCTTATTGGTAAGAATGTGGTAATTGCTGGGGACTTTAATACTCCACTTACAACAATGGACAGATCATCTAGACACAGAATCAGTAAGAAACAATGTCCCTGGTTCAAGAAACATTGAACCAGATGGCCTTGACAGATGTATTTAGAACTCTGCATCCTAAAGCAACAGAATATACTTTCTTCTCAAGTGCACATGGAACATTCTCCAAAATAGATCACATATTGGGTCACAAAACAGCCCTCAATAAATACCAAAGAATTGAGATCATACCATGCACACTTTCAGACCACAATGCTATGGAACTTGAAATCAACCATAGGAAAAAGTCTGGAAAACCTTCAAAAGCATGGAGGTTAAAGAACATTGTACTAAAGAATGAATGGGTCAACCAGGCAATTAGAGAAGAAATTAAAAAATATATGGAAACAAATGAAAATGAAAACACAACAATCTAAACCCTTTGGGAATGCAGCAAAGGCAGTCCTAAGAGAAAATACATTTGCAACCCAGGCCTATCTCAAGAAACAAGAAAAATCCCAAATGCAAAATGTAACAGCACACCTAAAGGAAATAGAAACAGAACAGCAAAGACACCCCAAAAACAGCAGAAGAAGAGAAATAATAAAGATCAAAGCAGAAATAAGCAATATAGAATCCAAAAACAAAACAAAACAAAACAAAACAAAACAGTAGAATGGAGAAATGAAACTAAGAGTTGGTTTTTTGAGAAAATAAACAAAATTGATAAACCTTAGCTAGGCTTCTCAAAAAGAAAAGAGAGAGGACCCAAATAGATAAAATCATGAATGAAAATGGATTTATTACAACCAGTCCCTCAGAAACACAAGCAATTATCAGGGAATACTATGAAAAATTATATGCCAACAAACTGGGCAACCTGGAAGAAATGGTCAAATTCCTAAACACCCACATACTACTAAAACTCAAACTGGAAGAAATAGAAAATTTGAACAGACCCATAACTAGTGAAGTAATTGAATCAGTTATCAAAAATCTCCCAACAAATAAAAGTCTTGGATTCTTCCCTAGGGAATTCTACCAGACATTTAAAGCAGAGTTAATACCTATCCGTCTCAAGCTGTTCCAAAAAATAGAAATGGAAGGAAAACTTCCAGACTCATTCTATGAAGTATGAAGACAAACCAGACAAAGACCAACAAAAAAAGAGAACTACTGGCCAATATCTCTGATGAATATGGATGCAAAAATTCTCACCAATATACTAGCAAATCGAATTCAACAGCATATAAAAAGAATTATTTACCATGATCAAGTGGGATTCATTCTTGGGCTGCAGGGCTGGTTCAATATTTGCATATCAATCAATGTGATACATCACATTAATAAAAGAAAGGATAAGAACTATATGATCCTGTCAATAGATGCAGAAAAAGCATTTGACAAAATACAGCATCCTTTCTTAATAAAAATCCCCGAGAAAGTTGGGATAGAAGGAACAGCCTTAAACTTCATAAAAGCCATTTATGAAAAGCCCACAGCTAATATCATCCTCATTCAGAAAAATTGAGAGCTTTTCCCCTGAGATCTGGAATACAACAGGGATGTCTACTCTCACCATTGTTGTTTAACATAGTATTGGAAGTCCTAGCATCAGCAATCAGAAAACAAAATGAAATAAAAGGCATCAAAATTGGCAAAGAAGAAGTCAAACTTTCACTTTTCACAGACAACATAATACTCTACATGGAATACCTGACAGACTCCACCCAAAGTCTGCTAGAAGTGATACATGAATTCAGCAAAGTCACAGGGTACAAAATCAACATACAGAAATTGGTTGTATTTTTATACAGCAATAATGAAGAACCAGAAGGAGAAATAAAGAATTGATCCATTAACAATTGCACGAAGAACCGTAAAATACCTGGGAATAAACCTAACCAAAGATGTAAAAGATCTGTATGCTGAAAAGTATAGAAAGCTTATGAAGGAAATTGAAGAAGACACAAAGAAATGGAAAAACATTCTGTGCTCATGGATTGGAAGAATAAATATTTTTAAAATGTCAATACTACCCAAAGCAATCTACATATTCAATGCAATCCCCATCAAAATTGCACCAGCATTCTTCTCAAAACTAGAACAATCCTAAAATTTGTGTGGAACCACAAAAGACCCCAAATAGCCAAGTAATATCGAAAAAGAAAACCAAAGCGGGAGGCACCACAATCCCAGACTTTAGCCTCTACTACAAAGCAGTAATCATCAAGACAGTATGGTATTGGTACAAAAACAGACACATAGACCAATGGAATAGAATAGAGACTCCAGAATTGGACCCACAAAAGTATGGCCAACTAATCTTTGACAAAGCAGGAAAAAGTATCCAATGGAAAAAACACAGTCTCTTTAACAAATGGTGCTGGGAGAACTGGACAGCAACATGCAGAAGAATGAAATTAGAACACTTTCTTACACCATTCACAAAAAATAAACTCAAAATGGATGAAGGACCTGAATGTGAAACAGGAAATCATACCCTAAAGGAGAAAGCAGGCAACAACCTCTTTGACCTCACTCACAGCAGGCAACAACCTCTTTGACCTCACTCACAGCAATCTCTTACTCAACACATCTCCAAAGGCAAGGGAATTAAAAGCAAAGATGAACTATTAGGACCTCATCAAGATAAAAAGCTCCTGCACTGCAAAGGAAACAATCAACATAACTAAAAGGCAACCAACGGAATGGGAAAAGATATTTGCAAATGACATATTAGATAAAGGGCCAGTATCCAAAATCTATAAAGAACTCACTAAATTCCACACCCAAAAAAACAAATAATCCAGTGAATAAATGGGCAGAAGACATCAAGAGACAATTTTCCAAAGACGACATTCAGATGGCCAAGGGACACATGAAATGGATGCTCAATGTGACTTCTCATCAGGGAAATACAAATCAAAGCCACACTGAGATACTACCTCACGATGGTCAGAGTGGCTAAAATGAACAAATTAGGAGACTATAGATGCTGGAGAGGATGTGGAGAAATGGGAACCTCTTTCACTGTTGGTGGGAATGCAAATTGGTGCAGCCACTCTGGAAAACAGTGTGGAGGTTCCTCAAAAAATTAAAAATAGAACTACCCTATGACCCAGCAATAGCACTGCTAGGAATTTACCCAAGGGATACAGGAGTGCTGATGCATAGGGGCACATCTACCCCAATGTTTACAGCAGCACTTTGAACAATAGCCAAATTATGGAAAGAGCCTAAATGTCCATCAACAGATGAATGGATAAAAAAAATATGATTTATATACACAATGGAATACTACTTGGCAAAGAGAAATAATGAAATCTGGCCTTTTGTAGCAATGTGGATGGAACTGGAGGGTATTATGCTGAGTAAAATAAGTCAGTCAGAGAAAGACTGATATCATATGTTTTCACTTATATGTTCCAAGATGTAGATCTTGAGAAACTTAACAGAAAACCATGGAGGAGGGGAAGGGGGAAAAAACTTTACAAACAGAGAGGGAGGGAGGCAAACCATACCAGATTTTTAAATACAGAGAACAAACTGAGGGTTGATGGGTGGGGGAGAGTGGAAAGTGGGTAATGGGCATTGAGGAAGGCACTTGTTGGGATGAGCACTGTGTGTTATATGGAAGCCAATTTGATAATAAATTGAATTAAAAAAAATTAAAAAATAAAACTCAAAGGAACTGAATAATGTATGTACCATTTGTATTTTGATTTTATACTGAAGAAATTAAGGCATAAAGAGCTTAGATAAGCTTCCCAAGGTCATATAACTAGCAAATTGAATAGACTGGATCCAAACGCAAGGAGGGTGGCTTCAAAGTCTGCACCATTGAGCTACGGGGCATCTCTGAATAAAATAACACTCGGTGAAGAAACCTTTTACATGAAAGTATAGGACTATTTAGTGAAATAAATATAGTTCTATACCAATAGCATTCAATGGTAACTCTGAGGAAACTCAGAGGAGATATGCTTTTATTCTACCTTATTATTGGCAATAGTCTGTAACGTATATTGAGCAGGCCCCATCTATGTGTCATGCATATCTTTTTCATGTTGTATCTAATGGATTTTGTATGATTATATGAAATATGTGAAAAGATAACTTTTACAGGTGTGCCTGAGTGGCTCAGTTGGCTGAGCGTCTGACTCTTGATTTCAACTCAGGTCATGATCCCAGTTTCATGGGATTTAAGCCCTCATCTGACTCCACACTGAGCATGCAACCTGCTTAAGATTCTGTCCCTTTCTCCCTCTGTCCTTTCCCCCCTTTTGTGCTCAGTATGTCTCTAAAAAAGAAGAAAGGAAAGGAAGGGAAGGGAAGGGAAGGGAAGGGAAGGGAAGGGAAGGGAAGGGAAGGGAAGGGAAGGGAAGGGAAGGGAAGGGAAGGAAACTTTTACAGTAGTTGGATGACTTTTGATGTTGATTTTTTTTTTCTTCAGAGAGAGGAGATAAAACTATAAGTTGGAAGCTATAATTAATTTCCTAAATACTTCATTTGGATTTTTTCAAAATCCATATATGACTACCACATTATTTAATATTTATAGCTACTGATAAGCACTCCCTCATATGTATTAATAGTTCATTAATATTTACTGAGCATACATACACACATTGTTTACAGGGCACTTCCCACTATGATTCTGGAAAAATGTTAGATAAAGGTTTCATTGTGGCATATTTGTATACTTCATTAATTAAAATGCGTGTTGTAAAGGACAGTAATATGGATCTAAGCTTTGGAATCATAATTGAGTTCAGCAGCTGCCTCTGCTTTGATATACACAGATGTGTGAATCAAGACAGTGGGTGAAAAATGTTAAAGTAGTCTTAATTATTAGAACAATTTTACATAATTGTTGCTCAGTTGTGCAATAGGATTATGTAAATGTCATTAAATTTATTGTTAGGATTTATATTTTGTGTTAATGGCCCTTGTTTTATTCTGTTTCCAGATCGGTATATCATAGTTGGCAGCCGCCATCACACTGCATACAGTTATTATGGACAAGAATGGGCCAGCAGCACTGCCATAATCACAGCTTTTATCCGGGCCTTGATGTTAAGAGTTAAGAGAGGGTGGAGACCAGACCGCACAATTGTTTTCTGTTCATGGGGAGGAACAGCTTTTGGCAATATTGGCTCATATGAATGGGGAGAGGTAAATGTACATTAATTAATATGTTCTTCTGGCTCTCGTGCACTCACTCTTTTTGACTAAAGTTGACAAAATAAAGTTGTCAAAACCAAGGATAAGAATGTGCCTCTCAACCATCTGCTAATTTGTTGAGATCACCTGTAAGAATGAGGGGGAATTAGATCACGGTGAATTATGTATGACCTGCAACTACCTTACTCTTGCTGCCTATAGACTGTGATATACCCACAATTGTGTTTGCCTGGTTATTGTATTTCTCCTTAGACAGGTTGACAATTACTGGACAAGAAAAGATCAAGTGATGCATGCAATTACTTTTTTTCTTTTTAACTTTCTAGCAATTATCTGGAATTAGGAAACAATCTGTTATGTTACATGTCTACTACTCTAGCATTATATCTTAGCTCTGCAATTTGTAGATTGGCCTCAAAATATTGGTTTCCTTTCTTCTTCCCCTTCTTCTTCCCTCCCTCTACTCAATCCTCCTATTCTTTTTTATTTTTAATGTTTACTTATTTTTGAGAGAGAGAGAGAGAGAGAGCAATTTGGGAAGGGACAGAGAGAGAGGGAGACACAGAATTCGAAGCAGGCTCCAGGCTCTGAGCTGTCAGCATGGAGCCCCAGGTGGGGCTCGAATTCACGAACCATGAGATCATGACCTGAGCTGATGTTGGACATTTAACTGACTGAGCCACCTAGGTACCCCTCAATCTTCCTATTCTTATACCTCTATCTTTCTGTCTCTTCTTTTCTGCATCTACCTATTAACCTATCTATCTATCTAAACTACCTTAGGAAGCCTTTATCCAAATGAAATCTAGCATGCAGTGGATCATTGTTAGAATACCACTGGAATATTTAAGTTTCAAACCTTTTGATATGTCTCTGTTTCACAGATGCACTGTATTTTTAATGGGATATAACAACCAATAATTGGATTGATGCCATATTAAAAACAATGAAAATATTGTAAAACTCTCAGATATTCTATTTACTTTGTGATTTTTTTTTTTTAAAAAAGAAGTTTAGTGGGAAAATGTAGGGGAAAAATCTATACAATTTTATCTAGGGAAATAAAACAATTTGATATTCTAGTTTGTTTGCTGCCTCAGCTTTGGAGAAAAAAGAATCCTAAATATCTAAGGGCAAATTCTACTATTATTTCATTTTTTTATTTAAGTACTCACAACAAAGATAAAATGTCTATTGACTATAAAGAAAATATCAAAAATATACAAAAGAAAATAGCAAGCATCTTTTTTAATTTGAAAAATAAGAAGTCTTAAAAGTGGGAAAATTTTAGTGTAAAATTTATCAAGATATACACATTGCAAATTAGAATACCTTTCTATACTCAAATTAGTTGTGTGAATGTTTATTCCACATTCAAAAGAACTAATTCAAATGAACAAATTCCATTGATGAAAGAACCTTTTTAAATTGACAAATTTTTAGTAAGATGGCAAATGTAATAGCTAAAGCAACCTCTCAAACTTCTATTCCAAATTACTTACTTTAAAGACATAATCAAGTTATGCAACTTGGGGAATATATTTGTGAATTGGGCTGATTTTAGTATTTAATGTTTTTTAATCATAAAGAAAACAATACTTTAGTTTTCTTGCAACAGTAAGGTGTGTTTTTGAAAAAGTATCTTCCAGATTCTTTTCAAATTCCAAAAATTTATTCCACTGTATCATACAGCCTTCTCCATATCTATCTGGTAACTTTCATAATAAATTTATGGTAATCCTAAATTAACATGTATATTCCTAAACTATGTTCTTTCTCAAATTAGGCTTGTCCAACAACAGACATTCTAAACTTATATATCCTGAGCCCCTATGCATGGGGAAGTTTATTGCAAAAAATCTTTGAATTTATTTGAGCATCAAGCATCATAGTTTGTAAGTTGAATCAATATTATGGCCTTTACATGTATGTAAGCAATTATATTTTCAAATTAAGTAGATTTTTTGTGGTTAATAAAATATAAATTTATTTGTAAGCTTTACTGAATTCATTTTATCTTTTAATAATTTTGTATTTTCTCTATCAGTAGATACAACTAAAAAATCTATATTGTAGGAGTTCATAGGAAAAAGTATTTATGTCAAAAAAAATCTCTTAGGGGCGCCTGGGTGGCGCAGTCGGTTAAGCGTCCGACTTCAGCCAGGTCACGATCTCGCGGTCCGTGGGTTGGAGCCCCGCGTCGGGCTCTGGGCTGATGGCTCAGAGCCTGGAGCCTGTTTCGGATTCTGTGTCTCCCTCTCTCTCTGCCCCTCCCCCGTTCATGCTCTGTCTCTCTCTGTCCCAAAAAAATAAATAAACGTTAAAAAAATATTAAAAAAAAAAATCTCTTACATTCAGTTAGAGTAGGGACCTCTGTTCTAACATATTTATGTGTGTATGCATGTTTGGCAACTAACTATTCGTCAGTCATTTTCTTACTTTTTCCATGACTAGGTAGGCAAAGATATATGAGTAAAGAAAATGGTGAATAGGAACATGGTGAATAACATATAGATTTGATTATTGGCTCATAGAGTATACTATATAAAATTACTCTATCTCAGAAGATTATTGCAATACTGTTCATAAAGCCATTTTGTAACTATCTGGCTGAGAAGGAATTTAGGAAACTATTAGCTTTTCCATTGTGTCTACTTTTACCAAACTACCCCTGAGAATGAAACTTTTTCTTTTAGACTAAAGTCAATGTATGCTCTAAATTGATTTCCTAGTGAAGCTGAGTAAGGAAAGCACCTGTTGACATTTCGTATTGCCCTATTTAATTTTGCTTGCACAGGAACATCTTGGAACCCATAGTTGTAATTAAAAATGTTAGGTGATATTGGTCAATAGACTTAAAACTGGAATTTATAGTGATAGAGTTATTTTTATTTTTTTCATTGAATCAATACTAATCTTGATCCTTGAGGAAAATTATCATACTTTTTACTAAATAAATAGTACCATTGTTAAATAAAATAGTACCATTTACTAAAGAAAAGTACCATTTCTTCTATTCAAGATGCTTCATTTTTCACAGGCTACTGTGGATGTTACAGTCAAAAGTCAGACTTCAAGTTCTTTCTGACATAACATGGATGGTCTTAGGCAAAATTAATTTCTCCAAGACTTGATCCTCCAATGAATATACTAGCATGAGGTTCTCATGAGTGTTAAATGGACTAACATATATATATATATACATACACATATATATATGTATGTGTGTGTGTATATATATACATATATATGTATATGTATATATATATGTATATACATATATATATGTATATATGTAATATATATATACATATATACATATATATACATAGTGTCTATCTGGTAGTATGTAAATATGTTTAAAAAAAAGTGCTGTTTTTCCACAGCACTTGTTGAACAATTTTTTAAGGGACATTTTTTTTTTAAACAGTATTATGTGTAAAGCAGAATCTTTAAGCTTAAGGTCATCATTCCTATTCATTTAAAATATTTACTAATTTTAGGTGTGCCTGAGTAGTTCAGTTAGTTAAGTGTCCAACTCTTGCTTTTGGCTCAGGTCGTACATGATCTCACCATTTATGAATTTGAGCCCTGTGTTGGGCTCTGCACTGACAGCGTGGAGCCTGCTTAGGACTCTTTCTCTCTCTCTCTCTCTCTCTCTCTCTCTCCCCCTCTCTCCTTCTCCCCTCCTCCTCATTCTCTCTCTCTCTCCCTCTCTCCTCTTTCTCTCTGTCTCAAAAAAAATATTTATTTTAAATGAAATGTCTTTTCAGCTCTCTTGCAGAGGTATAGCTGAATGTTCAACTTGAAATAGGGATAATATTATTGACTTGTTAGGTGCACATGCCCTTATAGTCTTCCATCTCATAGTGTTGGAGAAAGAAAAGTAAGTTCCTAAGACATGAAGTTGTTCAGTTTTTAAGTCATTTCCATAGAATTGTCACCATGATGATTAGTCATTAAATATTTGTGCAAGAAAGGAGGAAAATAATAGAAGACCTTCTTAGTGGCACCTTATTAATAGGCTTAGTGGTATTCAGTTTGGGGAATAGTTCAGCAGAGAAGTAGAAAAACCATTCTGCTGAAATCATTTTATGCTACTCATGTGCATAAAATGTATCAGGTTTTATTTCAGGTAATATGTGCAGGGACAAAGGTGTATTATGCCCCATTTTGCTCAGAATAAAGAGCCACTTATGTAAAAATTAGCTCATTGTCTCCAAGGAAAGGCCTAGTTTGATTAATCACTGAAGTAGTTTACCCATGAATTATTCTCTAATTCAATAACTATAAAATCAAGTTCTGTGTCTAGAGCAAACTTTCCATTCTGTATTCTAAAGTTGAATCACATACAATGTTAACCATTTAAGAACACTTTCTTTTAAAATTTGACTTTTTTCAGGAACGTGCTTAAAAATATTTTGTCATGGGGAGCCTGGGTGGCTCAGTCAGTTGAGCGTCTGACCTTGACTCAGGTCATGATCTCACAGCTTGTGAGTTCGAGCCCTGCGTCGGGCTCTTTGCTGACAGCTCAAAGCCTGGAGCCTGCTTCGGATTCTGGGTCTCCCTCTCTCTCTGCCCCAACCCACTCACATTCTGTCTCCGTCTCTCTCAAAAATAAATAAACATTAAAAAAATATTTTGTCATATATGATATGTAACTCCTTACCCTCTTTATTTAAAATCCTTTTCTGACCTTTGTACACTCTAATAGAATAGATTTTTTAAAAACAGTTGTGTACTATGGTGATTTTAAGTAGAAAGTATTTTTTTTTTCAACGTTTATTTATTTTTGGGACAGAGAGAGACAGAGCATGAATGGGCAAGGGGCAGAGAGAGAGGGAGACACAGAATCGGAAACAGGCTCCAGGCTCTGAGCCATCAGCCCAGAGCCCGACGCGGGGCTCGAACTCACGGACCGCGAGATCGTGACCTGGCTGAAGTCGGACGCTTAACCGACTGCGCCACCCAGGTGCCCCGAAAGTATTTCTTATTCAACATATAAATGATAAATTAGAATCTGTTACTTTTATCATGATAAAGATTGTTTTGTTTGTTTGTTTCAGGATTTCAGGAAGGTTCTGCAGAGAAATGTTGTGGCTTACATTAGTCTCCATAGTCCCATAAGGGGTAACTCAAGTCTATATTCTGTAGCTTCACCATCTCTTCAGCAACTGGTGGTAGAGGTAAGATGAACTAGTTTTTAATAAAACGATCATACAAAAATTACCTATTCTCTATAATTTGGCATATCTTGATGTTTTCACTTTTTAATATGCATAAAACCATCTATGTTTTTGTTATTTATTTATTTATTTATTTATTTATTTATTTATTTATTTATTTTGAGCACGAGAGAGAGAGAGAGAGAGAGAGAATACTAAGCAGGCTCCACATAGTCAGCACCAAGCCCTACATTGGGCTTGATCTCATGACCCATGAGATCATGACCTGAGCTGAAATCGGGAGTCGGACACTTAACCAACTGAGCCACCCAGGAGCCGCCAAACCATCTGTTTTAAGGAACTATCTATTACTAATTTTTTATCAATATTCCTTTAACCAATTTCTTATGTTCTGCAATTCTGCATCCTGCATTTGCTATGGTGATAGTTGTAGATAAAATTTTATAGTTATAGAGAACATATATAAAAATATAAATTTATTTCTTAAAAATTGAAATTCAGATTTCAAGTTCCCAATTCTATTGATCTTGACATTTTGTGGTAAATTTGGTTACTTTTAGATTTCTCCCCCCTCATTCATGTTTTGAGCAAATTTGGGACCTGCCCTATGTTTTCAACAATATCGTACTCTGCCTAAAAGCAGGATCTATGTCTAGTTCCTAGAATAGATTGATAACTAATTAAAGATATTTAGAAAAAATTATTCGAAAAATACTATGGGAAAGGACAGCATTCATTTTCCTAAAATGTAACTTGAAAAATAATCATGTAGTTTGTGATAATGTCTCACTAGAGATATTTATTTATTTATTTTTAATTTTGTTACTTCTGGTCTGTTTCAAATAATTTTCCAGAACATCTTTCCTGTTTGTTAGTTGAGTTCATGCTTTTATTTTTCAATCTTTTTATAACTTATACTACAGATAAAATGATTCGTGTTATTCTTCAGAATGAAAGTAATCATGCCACCACTGGAGGGTGGTTTCCTCCACCCCAAAAGGTTATTGGTGTATATTAGAAATGACCTTTTCAATGCCCACAGTTTCCAGTGAGTGTCATAGAAACTGAACTAGAAAAAAAGAGAGATAATGAACAGTGCTTTAGATTAGCCATAATGCTTGATTGAAATGTAATGCAAACTAACATTTTATGACTTTCATAAAGTATTTTCTAGTTTAATAGTTTTCATTGACATTTCCATATGTAGTATAATAAAGAGGACATTATGAAAGATGAAATGGATAAATCTGTACATTTGAGATCAGCCAAATCTCAGTTTGCATGCCCTAAATTGTATCCAGGTTTGTAAGTGAATTCCTCATGCACTTTGTACTGCTTTGCATTCTGACTCTCCTACCTGCCTGAAAAAACTCAAAAGAAAATCAGCAGATATCTCTCTTGGAAAGTTAAGATATTTCTGTACAAGTGAGATATCAAGGAGGATAGCATTAGCTCAAGTATCTGGCAACTGGGGCAGGTTAGTTTAAAATTTGTCTTTTCCTTCTCATGTGTTACAATATTTATATTTTGAGAACCTTGGAAGATATGTAATCATTGAAATTCATAAGCAAATATAAATTAAAAACTGTTAAGGGCTATAAAATCTAGAGAAATATTTATCTATAGAAATTTCTGAGAATAAAATGCTATTTAAAATGTTTTTGCACCATCTTATAACAGAGAACTGTAAAATATTAGCATTTAAACCCAATTATCTAAAAGTACAGTAATGAATAGTGACATGGAAGATGTACCTTTTTATCTGTTTGGGGGAAGACAGTTTTGTTCTATAGTTTAAAATATTTCTATACTAATCCAAGAGTTAGTATATAAATTCTAATTTATTCAAAGAAAAATTCCTTTCAGTTGAAAGAGAGTATATGTATGTTCTATAGGACAATTTAGAAAGGTAGGATTATCAGAGATCCAAAAAAACAAAAGCATATGCAATTTTAAAAAATGGGAATTACTTAACTATCTATATTGAGTTTTATTAACACAAAGCAAATATACAGGGTAATTTAAGATATATTTTACATACAATAATTCAATGCCAGTATTTTTCATTAAAATATGTCGGCACACTTAAAAATATAAAGGGGAAGAGAACTGAAGGAAACAAAACCTCACAGTAATTTGTATAATTTAAAACAACGTAACACCAGTGGCATTTTAAAAAGAAAGATTTAAAACATTTCTTTCAAAAGAAAGGAACTGATTAACCGATTATAACATCAGAACATAAGTAACTTTACATACAAAGACAAAGATATTTTATTAATCTTCAGGACCTCTGTATTTCATCATTTTACTTAGATTCTGTTACCATATGCAAACATATGTTTCATATAAGGTAGTATAGACCAAACAACCAAGCAGAAACAAATTAAAAATGATTTTTCTACAAAGAACAATAGTTTTTTTATAAAGCATGCTGACTAAATTGTGAATGACATAAGATTATATGTCATTATATGTTCTGTCAATGTGCAGAATCAAAAAAAAAAAAACTTTCTAAGTCCATGTGACAGAAATAAGTATATCAGATGCAGTCTTTAAAGTTTAATATACAGTACTACATTTATTTTAAAAGACTCTACAATTATAGGATAGTTTTTTTTACATTTATTTATTTTTGAAAGACAGCACTAGTGGGGGAGGGGCAGAGAGAGAGAGAGAGAGAGGGGTGGGGACAGAGAGACAGAATCCAAAGCAGGCTCCAGGCTCTGAGTTGTCAACACAGAGCCTGACGCTGGGCTCAAACTCACAAACCATGAGATCATGACCTGAGCCAAAGTCGGACGCTCAACGAACTGAACCACCCAGGTGCCCGTATAATTATAGGATATTTTAATGGACTATCAGCTTGGTAAGAAAAAAAAAAAAAAAAGTGAAGTAGTTACCCTAAATCAAATACCTGTTCAAATTTCACTAATAATGTGTTATCCCGATCAAGGAAGATGACAGTTTCATTGTCCTTGGCCCATTAGATATTGATATGCTATTATTTTTAAGTTAGATTTACTGGATGAATTGAAATAATAATTTACATATAGTAACTAATGTTCTCCCTTCTTAAGTATCAGGTTGATGAATTTTGACAAGTGTGTACAAGCAGGTAAACACCATGACAATCAAGATACACAGTATTTCCATCTCAAAAATTTCCCATCGTAGCCCTTTGTATTCAGTCTCCTCTCTTCTTCCCTAGTTCCTGGCAAAGACTGATCTGATTTTTGCCCAAATGTTTTTTTTTCTTTCAGAATAGCATAAATAATGGAATCTTTCAGTATATAGTCCTTTCTGTGTGACTTCTTTTACTTAACATAATGATTTTTAATTTTTTTTAATGTTTAATTTTGAGAAAGAGAAAGAGCATGAACAGTGGAGAGGCAGAGAGAGAGAGAGAGAGACAGAGACAGAGACAGAGACAGAGAATCCAAAGCAGGCTCCTGTCAGTGCAAAGCCCCATGTGGGGCTTGAACCCATGAACTGTGAGATCATGTTAAAGCATGCCCATGTTGTTACATGAGTCAGTACTTTTACAACATCTCTGACAAGGAAAACAAGTCAATCATGTCTGGGATGAACGCAATGTACATTTGTAGCTCTTCCTCCACTTTGGTATTCTAACTTTGATTTTGAAATAAAGAGGACTGACATTAAGAAAAGAAGCCATTTCTCTGAAGTTAGTCTACTAAATTTGAACTAAATCATACTGAGTGGAGAGGATGCAATTTTTTGAGGATTCAGATAGGTTTGGTGAATCTGAATCTACTACCAGTGACTACAGCTTTTTCTTAGAACTCATGAAAGATTGACGTTAAAAAAAATTACCTAAAGAATAATGAAAAGCTGATGGTTACCAAAGCTAAATAATAGGAACATGAGATTTCATTGTACTGCCCTCTCTTCTTTTGTATTTATTTGGAAATTTTCATGATCACTTGAAAAAAAACTCAAAAAAACAGTTTTTCTAAATTGTAACACTGATAACTAATAAATTAGTTTGTCTTCCGAAAGGAGTAATAATCTACCAGTGAGCTACCCACTGAACAGTAAGTAAGAGGCAAAAACTAAGGCTTTATGTGGTTGGTTTTTTTCCTGTTACTTTTGTTAGCATTTTGAACCAGCATTTCTGCTTTCTTTGTGCTACCAATATTTTCCCCAAAAATAATAATTAGTTCACTTAAAGCAGCTTGTAACTTTTGAAATTAAAAAATCTCCATTTGAAAAACTAAAAATTAAATATATTTTTAAATCCCTATTTCAGAAGTGGCTATATATTTTCAAATTATAAATTACCTCACTATATCCTTTGCAAAAATATTAACTTCATAGTAATATTTTACTTATTTACATTTTACTATACAAAAATACAGGGAAATAACTTTTTTTAATATGAAATTTATTGTTGAATTGGTTTCCATACAACACCCAGTGCTCATCCTAACAGGTGCCCTCCTCAATGCCCATCACACACCCTCCACTCCCTCCCACCCCCCCATCAACCCTCAGTTTGTTCTCAGTTTTTAAGAGTCTCTTATGGTTTGGATCCCTCCCTCTCTAACTTTTTTTTTTCCTTCCCCTCCCCCATGGCCTTCTGTTAAGTTTCTCAGGATCCACATAAGAGTGAAAACATATGGCATTTGTCTTTCTCTGTATGACTTATTTTACATAGCATAACATTCCAGTTCCATCCACATTGCTACAAAAGGCCATATTTCATTCTTTCTCATTGCCACGTAGTATTCTATTGTGTATATAAACCACAATTTATCCATTCATCAGTTGATGGACATTTAGTCTTTTTCCATAATTTGGCTATTGTTAAAAGTGCTGCTATGAAACTTTTTTTAAACTTATAGTGGTAATGTGCATTATAGACACATTATAGACACATCATATCAAAAAAGTAAGTTAATTACATAAAACAACAAATTTTTGACAAAATCCATTAAAACATTTTATTTATTTTTTAATGTTTATTTGAGAGAGAG